TCGTTCCCTTTTTTTACGCTTCGTACCTTTTTTCTTTTCCCTTCTCTTTAAATTCTCATTGTTTTGTGTGGCGCATTTATATTTGGCGCACTCTTGTACCAATATTTATGTGTTCAAATAAATAAATAACTAATGGCAGCAGAAGGCTAAGAAGATTGAGTTGATGAAAACAGGAAAGGAATTGTGAAGTGGAAGAATCATACAGAATGTAAAAGGCAGTTGTATGATTCTTATATTTTACGAAGATATTTTGTTATTTTGCATTATGCAATAAATTGGTCCTCCCCACTTGAATCTTTTTCGTTACAGTAATAATAGTGATAATAATAGTAGTAAAGTAGTATGATATATACTGTTTGAAATATTAAATTTTGTTTCCGAAAAATCAAACGATTTATTTCTATGGAATCATTGACGTTGCTACTACTGTAACTACTATTGCATATCATTTTATTTCTATGTGAAAAGAAGTATAATATATTCAGTTTCCATAAATATTTAATTATTGAGTTATATATTTCAGTTCTATGGATTACAATAAAATTCTCCCAGTGTTTACCATAAGAATTCATTGTAATTCTATCATATTATTTCAAGGTGTAATTCTATAATATCATATTATCATATTTGACAATGGAAATCCTTCTTGACAAAGTATGGATAACTTGCATAAACTCGTTGTGTATTTGTGGCTACCGGTTAAATTGTCAAGTCGTTTTGTTTTATTTTAAAATTCATAATCAACAATGCCGACCACGCAGAAACAAGAACATGCATTCATATACACATACATACGTATAGAAAAATTGAGAAAGAGAGAAACAAACGCCCGTCGAATTCAAACAAATAATGCCATAATACAGACAGAAATAATTTTTTTTTCTCTTTTTCTACGAGTCTTCATCCACATACCTGCCAAATGACGACCACACACATAAATGTTAGTTGGTAACAAGTTGGCAACTGTGATCATACCATACAAGTTTTCAGCATTTAGACCACCAAGATTTTATGACTATATTTATATGCATAAATATATATTTATATTAGTATGATATACATGATATATATATTACATAGGCATATGTATATTATGAACACGTCAGCTGTTCAACTGACTAAATCTTACCTATATTTTTTTTCTGCCAGAGTTCATGTTGTCATACAAATAGCATGTTGTACATAATGTGTATACCAATGTATCATATTTGTGTACATGTAAATACATACAGAGATTTGTATATATCTATATACATATGTTTTTTTTTCTTTTCTTATTTTCGAATATAATAAGGTAAATAGAAAATAAAATGAAACCTGGAGACAGAGAATTTGTTCTAATTTTAATTAACTACAATTTATATTGAAAATTTATGAGAAGCTTAGTGGAATAGAAAAGAAAAGAAAAGTTTTCTCGTTTTATTCTTACAATATCAATACACCATGTCTAATTGTTTATAATAAACAATTTTGTATATTGAATAAAAACTGAGGAGAAAAAAAATTATCGAACGTTTCTTAGATATTTTTCTTTTTTTTTCATTTTGTTTTGTTTTGATACACCATGACAACAACATTGTTGTACAATCTTATTAGTTGAAAGTAAAATATATCAGTTGATTAGATGATCGGATAACAAAAATCAGTTATACACATTCATTTACATCGATCGCTCACCTAGTAATAATAATAATAATAATCTTAGGAAATTTGAAATTAACCTTCAACAAGAAACGAAGTCAACTGATGATTATAGTCAAATCCTACAGAGGAGCACAGATTCAGATATTTTCACTATGTGTATTTATAACCTTATCTAGTGCCTTCTAGTTTTCAGAATCCGTTTATCTAAGATCATTATTTTGTTCACTATGCCTATTTTATGAAAAATTGTAGTTTATAACTTCAGTCACATCAAGATGAGACAGTAGTTTACGTCACATACGGCTTATTAACTAGACTCAGAAATGATGATCGACTCAACGTTTTAATGGTATTCTGTATATTGTATGACATAAAAAATTGTTTGGGTTGGAAGGTATTTCTGAACAACATTGGGCAGTTTTAGATTAGATGAAGGATTTATCTAGCGCCCTCCACTGTTTAGAAAATCCACTACATATATCAGTTTAAGATCAAAATTTATCTCTAACGAATTAATTTCACATTATTTCTCTGACATTTCTACCAATTGAAACAATTTGTATCTAAATATGAAATAACGAGTGGAAAACGGCTAGTGATAAACTACACGTTTTCAAGTCATCCAAGTATATTGTATGCAGGAATTGAGGTTATGTTTTCGTTTGTTTAGTCGGTCAGTTGTAGGTATTTTGTAGTAATTTCTACAGTAGATTTAATTGGAAGTATGACTTTTGCTATACTGTAACCTTTCCTCCCATCGTAACTGACTGCACTACACCTAGCACGTCCGTAGCATGATGGAGTGGTGTTTTCATCGTAGAGAACTATACGTTTTCATGTAAGCCAGCGAAAGCAACAGGGAACAATTGGAAAGGATTGTGTAAGACAGAGTTGTACGGAGAATGCTGGTAGTCGGCCTCTGCTCCTCCACATGCTTTGTTCTCTTTGCCCTAATCTCTACAAACTCGATTATTCATGTCGAAGCCAGTTCTTAGAGTTAATGAATTGCCCACTTTTTTATATGGTAAACTGATGCAGATTTCTACTTTATATTGATAAAACTATGTATATTTGATCAGGATAGAATGATTCATATTTGACTAATTTTATTTAAATTAACAGTTGACCTCTAATTATTCACTCTAATGTGTCTGATTACATTTTTAGCCAAATTTGAAAAAGGAAGCATTATTCAACCATTCCATTACTGAAATAACAAAAATAACTACCGTAATCTTTATAGTTCTAATTGAGGACATACTATATTTTCTTAAAGTAATCATAACAACACATTTTAGCAACTATCTCTGTTAAATAAATTATCTGGTGTAGTATGACACTCTGTCCGAACTATACATTAAAAAAAATACTTTTCTTAAAATACTAACCATTATATGCTGCATCTCTATCTTAGGTGTTTTGTTTCTGTACATATGGAATAAATACTAAATAGATCATTTAGCCGATAGTTACATAGTAACTATCATTAAATAACTATTGTCTATTAATGTGTCTTCCTATTTTTTATAATGCATACGTATGCATATATAAATGCAATTAAATATATTATTCATTGAATAGCTTATATACATTGAACAGTAGTAATAACAACAGTTGATATTATATAACAAAATGATGTTTATATAGAAACAAAGAGGATAACAAATATTATATCTGTCTCATGAAAACACAAGACAAAGACGTCCTAATGTAGTCATATTATCCTATTAGTCTGAATAACTAGTTGACTGACAACAAAAAACACTTATGGTAATAATAACACTACTAAATATATAATATACTCATTTCACTTAATGTCTTAATTGACCTTATATATTATTATCGTTAGTATTTAAAATAATAATAATAATACATTAAAAATCATAAAGTCTACTAATAAACTGACCTAAAACATATTTTGACAATTGAAAACAAACGATATACACATTTCTTTTCTCAGGAATGCATTCTTTACACTTTACACCGGATACAAGTGGGTTTACATGTGGAAAGGAGTGGGGGGGGAGAGTAAGACATGCAGTGAAATAAGACAAAGAAATTTTGAAGGAATTCTATTCCTTCTGTCGCTGATTTTATGATTATTATCACTATTATTAGGTTCTGTCGTATCTTGTTATACCTTATGACTTTGAATGATCATATGCTATTTTCATAATGGAAATTCTCTAGTTATCATTTCTTCAGTTAACAAGACATTACATGGTTAACTAATAAATAAAAAAATTAAGTTGAGTAGTCATTGTAAAATGCAAATAATTTGCATCATTAAAAATGTTTGAGCAAAATCTAAAAAAAATTTATGTCTATTATATGTAGTAAATTGAAATTGTACCAAGCATTGTAAGGGTATCTACTATTGACCTGTCATGGTATTGAATACTAAATGAAGATAGAAAAATGTAAGAAACTCAATAAAGTTGCAAATGAAGTGTTTCTGTTTTTCTGGTGTAAAGTGAATACAGTCTACATTAATTTGACTCCTTTGATATTACATAAATTTCATGTATTTTAAAGATATACTACAGTTAGTTGTATACAGAAATGAAATTTCTGATTAATTGAGGTATCCATTGACAATGGTTATTCTAAAAGGGCGGCTGCTTAAGTATCTGGGCTACCTGTTCCTGCCATCTAGATATTTCAACAAGTTATCTATTTTTGTTTGTTTTATTATATCACTATGTTTATTAATCGCGTAACTTATTCTGCTGCGTTTCTGAAAAGTGTACAACCTTTCGTTATCAAAGTTACAAAAAACTCAATAAGAGACAATGTGGTTGCTGGCAATATACAACGAAAAGAATGCACATTATTCAGATGTTCATTCACTGAGTGCTAACATCTAACTGGCGATCACTCAATATTTATCGCCAGGACCGACCAAGAAGAAAGAAACGGAAACTTGTTGAAATACTTTGCACTGAGAATTCTATATTGTACCAAAAATATAATATTAAATAAATCTGATAATAATAATAATAAATTTGAATGCTAGTTGGAAACCGTAACAGAATTAAGTCAAAAATCATATCAAGTAGAAACAAATGAATAATTTTCTATCATAGAGAGTTATGGAGATCATTGGTTTTCTCAGTTAGTTAGGTTAGATCCTAACCTAGTAGTCTGTAGGTTTAAAACTTGTTACGTGGCATGAAGGTCCTAGTTTAAATCATTGATCGTGGATTTATACTGTTTAGGGGTTCCATACTAGTACGTTATGACTGTCAAGTATTTTCTGTTTTGGTTCTCAGCGGTTCTCTAACTAGTACAAGTCTTTGATTTAAACTTATGAAATTATTTTCTATTAAAAACTGAAATTCTAATTTCTTACTTACCAATATCTTGAATAATTGCACCGAATGAACTGTCTGGTGAATTAGGACAGATATTTTCATTTAATGGATTGAGTAAACTAGAATTACACACAGAATTTCGATTATTCATTAGTTTGTTCAGATAATTATCACCATTATTATTACTATTATTATTACTGTTATTATTATGCACATTTGTAAAAGCAACAGTAGTATGTATTGTTGGCATTGATATTGTTGTAGACGATGAATTACATAAATTCTCATATGTCAGACAATTTTCCATATCAGGTGTCAATTCCATATTAGTCACATTATTATTAGTAGTATTAATATCGTTACAATAAATTGATTTCATTGTCATTAATTGTATCTCATCTGTTTGATGTGATAATAGATTTGGTAAAAGACCTTTTATATCAGATTTCAAACTTTTCATATCCTCTGTAATAAATGATTCATGACAATGTTTTGAATATGTCGATTGATTCATATTCATATTACTACTATTTTTATGACAAGTAGTATTGGTAATGAGACTTGTACCTGGAACAATATTGATTTCTACTTGTTCAATCATCGATTGATTCATATTATGAGGATCATTATTATTGATTTGAACATTATTATTGTCATGATTTTTATTTCCATTGTTGTTATTGTGATTGCCATTTTTCATATTATTAGTAAAATGATTACTTGACATTAACTGTAACGTTTCTATATCGTTATTATTATCAGTATGGATAGTATTATTACTATTATTATTAATAGTAGTAGTAGTATCATTGTTATTGTCATTTTCACTACTATCATGGTGATGATTGATTTTGGAAATTTTTGTATAAGATGAGAATGTATTAAACAATAGACTTGTTCATTTCTATAAGCAATTTCTTCACCTGGCTGTAATAGTTTCTCACAAATAACACAACGAAAACAATCTAAATGAAATGTACGTGATCGTATACGAAATACTAAATCCATTTTATCAATTAATCGATAACATCCAGCACAACGATATAGGAAATTACTAAAATAGATTGTTTTAAAAATAAATAAAATGTATAGATTAAGCATGATAATAAGTAATCTATAAGGTTACTCATAAACAAATTAATTTAGGATGAGATAAAATGACTATAAAAATGTGCATATTTGCTTAATTTAAAGATCATTGTACTTTTGGGAAAATGATTAAAATTTTCATCTGTCATCAGTTATTTCTCTTCTTCTTCTTCTTCTTCGTGTTATACAAATCTCAGATTTTACTATTTCATGTATCATTTTTCCATAGTTATCTAACTCAATGAAGATTTGATTGATCTTTAACGAAAAAAAATAATACCAGTTGAATTACATATGAAGGTTATACAATTGTAGTATACAAAAGTCTCTATAGAGTAATGACTATGGTTATTCTTTCTGATTGTAGGAGTTTTTCCAATGTATATTAACCGTGTTATGAAAAGATGTTTGAACGTAGTTAATAAAATATATCACCTTATAACATTGTATTGAACACCTTTAGTGAAGAAATAATATCTTCATATTTCTACATTTAATTGATATATTAGATAGTGTACAGTGTGAACATCATTTTTAAGGGATTTATAAGTGTATACTTTTAGCAAGTAAGTTGAGAGATTCCATATTGAAATAAAAACATTTAGTTGGATTAATGTAAGTTATACCAGTACATTTCCACAATTTGAGCTATGAAAACTGACTATAAGTTACGTAAATTGATCTGATCCCAAAATCAATAGACAATACTTCATGTTATATGTTATGTTCAAATATTAACTTTAAAATATTCAATGTCAAACATATAATGATTAATCATTAATAATCAACATTTTCCAAATCTAATTATATATGATGACTGAAATGTGTATTGATCGAACTCCATAAAGTAGCTATTATTAATTTTAGGTTACTTGGCATAATTCGAAAAAAAGTAAAGGGTAGTGGTTTTCGATTTTTGTTTTACTGAATTATTTGTTTATGCAAAAACTAATATCTGTCTATCACTTACAACTCATTAATATATATATATATATATATATATATATATATATATATATATATAATGTCGATCAGACTGTTTGTTTCGTTGCTCTCTGTACATACATATATATGACGTAAACGATAAGGGTAAAACAACAAAATAAATCAATGGAAATGGGGAAAAACGAGAAAAAAATATCCTAAAGAACTCTTGAAAATATAAGGCTAAGAGCGAACTCTTCTTCATTTATTTGACTAATTGAATCATTGAAGCTGAAAAAGAACAGGGCAATTTATTTCAGTTCTATCTTGTTCCCTTCACCAAATCTTTCTCTCTCTCTCTCTTGGTCCCTATTCTCTCTTTTTTTTTGCCTTTTAATTGAGCCTATTCAGTGAGTATTATTATTTATTATTATTATTACTACTACTAATTTTGCCTTTATCAATTAGTTCCTCATATATATATATATATATATATATATATATATATTAATGAATATATTTGTGAGATAACATTCCACGGTAGAATTCATCAAACGTACATTATGTAATCATAACTTATTAATGTCCAATTTGCCCGGATGCGGGCACATTAAATAATAACAGTAATAATACAAAATAAAATAGATTATCCCTTGTATATAAACAACCCTATTTTTTTCAATCAAATATTTGTATTATGAATTATATAAACACAAAAGTAATCAATAATTAGTTTCTATGTTTTTATTCACTTCCAATAGTCATTAGTGAATAAAGTATCTGAGGATGAGAAGCAAATAATTACATACACCTTGTATTCATATGATATTCAATTATTTAATGATTATTTTATTTAATTAAATGTCAATACTAAAATCTTGCTAATACTATGGGATTTTATTCTTTAATAAGTGAGTTATTGAAGTATTAAGGTAGACTTAGTGTATTTAATGGTTAGGTATTCATTGTGAGACTTGGAGGTTCTGGATTCAATTTCTTGTACGGCAGTGGATACATATTGTTTGTGAGTTTCGAATAGAAGTCAAATAAATGTCGAATGATTCTTCGTTTTAATGTTATCTCAACTGAGATTATTCAGTGATAAATACTACCTAAATATTATACTAATTTATACAACAATAACCCTTAATTAAGATACACTAATAGTTTGAAGTCTATTAACTTATAGTGGAAAACTATATTTTTGTATAAATCAACCCGTTACTCAACTACAATATTAGAATATGTCAAGCGAATTCATCAAATACCCACCCCCAAAAAAAAGATTAAGATATTCAATTCTGATAATTATATAAACATACTAAACATTAAAATAGTTAGTGACTGTCTAAATATAGTAGTTCAGGTATGTGTTGAAATTATAAGGATGACTGTACACAGTTCAAATTATCAAGTGATATATCAAAATTACGATACATGTATACTGAGCTGAAAATATCACAAAATGGTAAAGCATCACTCTTCAATTCCATTTCTAACAACAATTTATCTTTCTGAATATCGCATATTCGTAAAACAATTTTCTTAGTGAAACAAATAAGTAAAATCTGATCTGTTCTATAGTTTGTATGAACATTATCAAACACCTTGATAATTCATTGTGATTAATTATAACATTTGATTGGGATATGTTTTGTGGAAAGTGTTGGGAAGAACATGTTGAACTATTGATTTTCTTATAATATGGAGTGAAATTATTCAACTTTGAATATTATGCCAACGTTTTGAAATTCAAATACATAAAAATAAAACAATTTGATTTGAAAACTGAACAATAACACTACAGCATATTTATAACTGAATGATAAGTATCAACAATTTATATGATTCTTGTTTCGCCTCAGTCATATTAACATCATTTCTGCTTGTCATAACATTTAGTGAATGTTGAGTTTTGACTCGATATTACTAAGTTTCTTCAGTCTATTTATTTCATTAATCTATAAAAATATACAGATAGTTTTTTTCATGTAATTGTGGAGACTTTGCCAGCAAAAAAAAACAAAACAAAATTATCTAATAATTAGTATTGATCATTAAATTATGTCTACATACTTAAAGTGAAATGATAATTTTATGTCCGTACCTTTATAAAGGTAACCGATGTACAATAAGCGGCTTTAATATTCAAACAATTCTTAGTCTATTTTTGCTTTGGACAGTCTTTCGGTTACGTCAAGATCTCTCGTCAATAACCATAAATGAAGGTCTAACTTTTTGCAATTTTTACTTTGTAAATAAGTTATACTAACTAACATGTATGATATCGTATCTTTTGTTGAAATCATTAGTGATTTGTAAGAAATTGAAATTGTTTTTAAAGTAAACGTTCCCTTAATATACTTGTAAATATTTAATACAAATTATGAATTGTTACTAAAATTCGGACTTATTTGTATAGTATAATGATGACTTTCTTTTCAACTTACAAATCTGTTTATTTCAATAGTTGAAATTATAAGTCAATTGAAGCTAGACCACCATGGAAAACCTGGTAGCATTGGACAACCGTTTTGTCCTATTGTGGTACTCCTGAGTAGTGCGCTTTCACGACCTCGCCTCACGGGATTCAAACCCAGGACCTATCGGTCTCGCATCAGACGCCTAACCAGCTAGACCACTGAGCCGGCATCCAACGCTGTTAATGTCTAACTTCAACTAATTCACGAAATAGAGCGACACATCCACCATTGTCTTCAGTGAGTTATTATCTCACAACTGACCCGGTTGAACACCACTGGTCACTACTTTTCACTATAACTCCAAGGAATACCTCTTGAAGCCAGTCAATAGTGAGCATTAGTTGTAGTTATCTCAATAATTGAGATCATGAGTCGTAAGTCCTGGGTTCGAATCCCGTGGGGCGAGGTCACTGCTAAGGTGTCCCACAATAGGACGAAACGGTCGTTCAATGCTTCCATGTTTCCTACGGTGGTCTAGCTTCAATTAAATCATGATCTCAACTATTGGGATTACTACAATTTGTTTATCAGAAGGGGTTTGTGGAGATTTTAAAAATTTTATCAGCTTCAATTAACTCATGATTTCAATCTGTGAAATTTGTTTATATCGATACAAGATGTCAATTTAACACATTTGTGCTATTTAACAAAATCTATACTAGACTAACTGTGTAATCTTATTGTCTGACTTAGTCTAATCATAAGTTCTTGTTAAAATCATTATTCGAAAATATTTATTTTAAACATTGTTCTTCAGTATATACACATCCATGTGATGTGTGTATATGACACTTTGTTTACTGATAATTTACCATGTTTCGACATATTCATTTTTTCTTTTCTATAAGTTTATGTGTATTTGTGAAAGGGAGAGTCTACGTTATTGACTTGTATGGTTTGTATGCTTTGAAAAGAATTACCGACTTGGTATTACTACCATTACTATTATTATTATTACTGATACTAGTGGTGGTAATGACATCATTCGGTGAAATTAATTATGTGCCGGTTTTGTTTTTTATTTTTCCTTTTAAACAAAAAAACGATCCCATTAATTATCACTTTAGAATAGAATACAAAAGGGCAAAAAATGATAGACATAGAAAAAAAGAATAGTCTGTATTTATTTATTTTCTTTTAATTTTTTTTTGGGGGGGTTGGTGGAATTAACAAAGTCATTCCTTTAATCTTTTCTTTTACTTACACCTCAACTATCTTACCATTTATTTCAATCATACTCTAAATAGTATAGAAATTCAACATGAAGATTGTATGTTTATTTTTGTTTAATTTTTAATTAATTAAATTCTAGGTTTACAAAAATAGAAAAAAAGTGATAACTAATAGGATGCATTTGTTTTAATTGATATTGTGTTGTTGTTGCTTTTGTTTCGAAGAGATGGAAGGGGTAATTTTTCACATTTCCATCTTTCTTTACTCCATATAAATGTGTTTACTGTTTTATTAACGATATTTTATATCGTAGTAAAGTGTGAATAACTGTCATATTGTTCATCTTTCTTAAATAAATTTTCATGAAAATGTTTGTTTGTTTTTG